CCAACACATTCAGTGTCAAAAACACAAAATTGGGAAACATACAAAACTGGTGGTATTTGTATCGACATTCTTGGGACCCTCCCCAAAGCACATAGTTCCACCTATATGCTCACCATAGTGGGTCGTTTTATTCGATGGCCTATTAATTTTCCTATTCTAAATACTTATCACAAAAATTGTACTAGACAACTGAATCAGTACATATGGAGTACCATCTGTAATTACTACTGACAGATCAGTTTCAATCTAAACTCTTCCAGGAATTTGTTAACCTGCTCGGACTTAAAGATATCCAAACACTGCTTGCCATCCTTGTGCCAACGAGATTGTTAAAAGTTTTCACAGACAGGATCTTTCTGTAGAATCACATTTCTGTTCCTGTCAACCACAATCTAAAAAATTAAATTCAAAGTCAATTATCATTTTCTGTCTCCTTGAATCCTGATCTTTTTATTGTCCTTTCTCTTCAGTAACATTTACTCACTTTCCTTCACTCTGTTATCTCTGTTATCCCTTACGCCTTAGTGTCTTTATCGATTTGATGTGAAATATTTTAAATAGTTACAAATAAATATGATATCGTAGCTTTAATATGCTCGCAAAATCCTACAGAGAGAAATTGAGTTGTTTGTTTTTTTTATTAGCATTCGAATACAAGTTAAAAAGGTATGCACTGACAAAACATTTCACTATCTTTTCAGTTTTCACAAACATTTGCTCTACTAGCAGTATAATCCGTCTTTGACCGGGTCTTTCATTACTGGAAATTTTTGACGTTTGATTGGAGCAGTTTAAAGTCAGCCAACCCGAAAATCAATATTAGTAACAACATTTGGATGCAACTGAGGCACATCCCCAAATGGGTGGTTAAGAATTTGAATTATTCTGAAAAGGGCCTTTTTTGCGTTCTCAATCTTGCAAGGAAGGAACCTCTTCCATAGACTGTCATAATAATAATAATATACGATAATTTTTATTTATAATATATATTTTTTTTATAATTCTTATAATCTTTTACGTTGGATTTCGACTCTCTAAACTGAATGGACGCTTTTTTTTTCTTTTTTTGCAGACATTAAATTTTACCTTTCATTTTTGCGCAGTGTAAAAAAAATCAGTTTTTTCACCTTCAAGGTTGTAATTTTTCCAGCCAATTTGGACTCAAAACCGGCACTGAAGAATTATCTATCAAACAAAACAAATTTCATCGAAATCGGATGAAAACTGTGGAAACGTATAAACAACATCCGATGACACAAACACACACACACACATTTTGAGAATTATAGATATAGATGTACATTATTTACACTCGGACTAATGTTTTCATCTTTGTTGTTACTATCAATGCATTCGGGCCTTCTCCAAGTGTCTGTCGATCCGGATAACCTTCGAGAATTTCGAATTGAACTCTAATCTACAGGGGATAGAGTGTTCTTCTTTCATTGTCTAAGGATATCTCGTCTTTTTTTATTCAAAGTACTACTCACTTATTGCTCGTCCTATTTCCCCAGAGTCTGTCTGTTCTGCCCAACCCAACTGAACACACAATTTCTATGCCAACAGACACCTGAAGAATTATTTTTTCTGGCATGGAAAGTTTAAAACACACAAAAATAACAAATCTGCTGCAATCATAGACAACCGTAAGTAAAACAACTACTACTATCACAGGGAACGATGTAATCAGACCCTTGCCGCATCCCTAACTGCACGCAATCATTGCAAGAATTATGGAAAAATGCAAATATCAGTTATGCTTCTTCTATGTGCCGTTTCTTCCAAACGTAGGCGTTCATGGCTCTCCCGTCCTTCGTAGCGCTTAATAAAGTTTGTCTTTTCGTTATCTCTCCTAAACCTTGTTCAGCCATACCATTTATTGAAGTTCAGTCGGTAAATTATGCGCTGGTTTCTTCTGTACCTCTTGCCTTCTATCTGTCCTGTATCAGATTTTACAAGCTCCCTTTCCTCATTACGTTCCCAAGAAATTTCAAGTCTCTCCCTGATATTAACTATGTTTCCTTTTTGTTTCCACAAGTTTCTCTAAAATTTCGTTGTTGCTCATGTTTAGTTGATGGTATCCTCAGCATCTTTGCACAGTCAGTATAAGCCAAAGTTGAAAAAGATTTGGTCCCCACAAGTTCTGGAAAATCTAGATCAAAATTCTTAATAGAGGCAGAACCGTCAGTGCCGACGACTAATATAAATGACCCCGAGGTTATTTCATCCTCCCCTTCAGATAAGCCTAAGCTCTTTGCCTCTAACTCCACGTTAGAGGACAACAGCTATATCCCCTTTCACACCATAGCAAATTTCCAAACCCATTGAAAGTCTTGATTCTATGAAGATTAATGGATAAAATCCCGGTGGTTGTTCTTAAGAACCTTAATAAAATTGTTTAACCGCTGCCGGAACATTATCCAAATGTCAGCTAGATGTTGTCTTCAGGAATGCAGGTTAGCACTCACCCCAGTCTTAATACTGACTCATCAGCCAATTCTATGATCAACAAAAGGATTGTTTATCACCTCAACAAAAACCACCTCTTAAGCGACAAACACTATAGATTTTGGTCCTCTAGGTTCACTGCTGATCCCCTATCATTACACGTAATTAGTGAAGCACTCTATAATAAATTAATCGCGAAAACAATTTCTTTAGATATCTCAAAGGCCGTTGACAAGGTGTGATATAGGGAAATGCGACACACACAAAGTCTCCATTTACGGAATCTCTGGATGAGTTTTTTTTTCAATTATCAAGTCCTTCCTATCAGGTAAGGTCCATGAAGGTTGTTGCTAATGTCTAGTCTTCTGGGGCCCATGAGATCAATACATCGTTCTCCAAGACTTTTCTTGGTCCTACCCTCTTTCTGCTTTACAATAATGATCATCCCAGGAACATTCTATCATTAGTAAATATGTAGCTAGTAGAGTGTATGAATACACCTAAAAAAAAATCAATTATCAGAGTTTGGCAACTTACCTCTCCTCTAAGTGAGCTCTTACAGCTCAATGGGAAAAACTGGCTTGTAACATTCAGTACCTACCAAACTAAGTAGACCCTGAATTTTCACTTGTCATAATGAACAGTTATACTCTCAACGAGGCTCTTTGCTTTAAACATTTATTGGAACTTATGTTCACTCCAGGTCTCAAGTGGAACTCATATATACTATCCATGTTGTTAAAATAGTCAATTCCATGTATCTGACTCCTCCTGCCATGCTCTCTTTACGATAAGAACAAAAATGGAGTATTGCTGCCATATAAGGTCCCGAGTTGCCCAATTGTCCCTTTCCTGTCTTGACAGAGTTCAAAAGTGTCTACGTGGTTTGTGGGTGATGAATTGTTTTCCCAAGATGGAATGTCAAAAATTTACCATGGCATGAATCATCCTCATGCTACTTTTTGGAACAGACTCCCGAGAGGGTACTTCTTCATCACTACAATCTTAACCTCTTCAAGTCAAAGATCAACCATTATCTTTCCTACATATTAAACAAATCTGCACTTCTTGCCATCTTATGTTTATACTACCTCATTCAGTAACCCTTGATCTTTACAGACTCTTGAACTTTGTACTAGATGAACAATTTTTTTAAAAAAATGCTGGTATTTGCAGAACTTTTCCAATCCATTAGTTACTAAATTTGCTCAATTACAAATGTAAACTATTCAACTTGTAATTGTGGTTTTCTATTTATTAATCATAGAGTAGGAGATGGGTTCACCTATTGCCCAGTTTACACTCCTCCCCAGTCCTCTGAACAAGTGTAGAAATTTATCCTTGTTTAGGATTGGGTTTCTGGTTCCTTCTACTAAAGGCTTTTCATTCTCTTTCACTCCCAGTAGGCCGTGTGTCTTAATGTCATTATAGCTTTGCTTGGAGTAAAGTGATTAAAAAAAATTTTTCCAAGTTTCCCCATTTGACTTCATCACTAATAAAATTAAACCAAATCAGTTAAATTATCTGCAACTCTTTAAATATATTTTCTAAAAATGAAACCACCACTGAACATAAACTTGGCATTTATCACATCTGACAAAAAATACATTTAACTGCTTCTGATTTAAAATAATTTCAAAGCTAAGAAACAGAACTTGTTACAAAACACAAGTAATCATGATGCCAATAAAAAAAAATTTTTTAAATTATATCTGCTACAAGCAAAGTTTTTAGTTGGAAATATTTATCCAAAATTCAAAGAGAAAAAAAGAAAAATATCAACAAACAAAAAAAAAATCCACAGTATTTAGAAATTATTTATTTTCAATGTTTTAATAAACAATAAGAATGTGTAACCTTACTTTTAAAAAGGTAAAAGCACCAAAAAAATTCCATGTATATGTGTGTGTGTATTAAAAAAAAGTAATGATAATTTATGGCTACAAAGTAGCAAAATACAGCTTAAACTTATATTTCCACTAATAAATCAAACAATTATATCCTTCCACACTTAAAAAAAATTAGTCAATGCATGAAATAGACAAAAAAAAAGTTGTGTAATATACATTAAAGATGCACGCACACACACAAAACATTATTATCAAGGAAAATATAGATGAAAATCTCCCAATGCCATTTTTAATGAATAAAAATCAAATTTACTTCCTTAAAAGACAGAGCCAATCATTTGCAATTATTTCTCCAAACAGCCATCAATCGCTCTATATGAGTCATGCTACCACTTCCCACAACACCATTGCCATTCACCCAATAATTTCTGTTTGCACCATTTTCTTTTTTAATTCCAGATTCTGTTTGAACTTCTGAACTATCAGGTGAGTTGGATTTTTCTCTGGGTAATGACAGTTCTTGTGAAGATATTTTTGTGGAATGAGTAGATTTTATTGAACCTGAAACCTGAGATTTTGGGTGTGGTTGACTGTGTGAAGGAGAGTTCATGCTGTTATAAGTATCATTATGACTGTAAGAGGTATTGTTAATGGCTGTATATTGAAATGGTTGTCGAGAAACAGAATATGTCTGTATCTGACCTAATACACTGTAATCTTTGTAATCCCGAGGAAAGGAGTGAGAGTCTGGAATCTCAAAAAATGTGTCCGTAATTTGATTATCTGGATTATTGCTTTGTTGAATACCTGGGAAAGAATCATTTTCAACTGGATTTTTGTTCTCGTTGTTAAGCTGCTGGCATGACTTGGGCTGACACTTCTCAACAGGAAACTGGTTATTGTCATTCTGAAAAAAATTTAATTGTTTTGACTTGTTTTTTTTTGGTTTTTGCACCAAACTGTAACCAGCTGGCAATAAACTAAGTTTGTTTCGACTGAGATTCTCTTTCCTGTATCTTGACCACTCAACACCAGCCTCATCCAAAGATCTAGAAGAATTATTCTGTAGGGTTGTGTCTGAATTATACAAAGTCTTTGGATTAGATTCAAACATAACAGGAGAGGTTTTCACTGGTGTCTTCAAGAGACCCATTAAATCTGAAGGAATATCACTGGCTATCATCTTCCTTGCTGCTTGAATCAAGATATCTTCTTCATTATCGATAGGATTGGTCTCAAGATCAGACTTATTTTCACAAGTTGGTGTAGGCAAACTAGGAACACCTAAAAAAAAAAGGGAAAAATACATCATTTTTTTTTTTAAAATGTCTATCTCCATATGGAGTACATATTTTATAATAAAACAAAGCATTTCAGGTTTTGATTGATTTATTCATTTTCTACAACCCATATTTTTAGATTCTAAGAATTTTTTTCAGTAGATAATGATTTAATGATACAAGTCTTACTAATTAACCCATGGCTGAGGGAGAAAAGGTGGCTGCATGCCTTTCCCAAGAGTATAAGTGAATATAACAAACCAGACTGGAATTGGAACACAGCTCTCTGACTTCCAATTCCAAGCAGTTATCCATTACACCACCCATACATCCAAGCTTACAGCACTTGGTATTCCCAAATGGTCATCCATCTAGGTATTGGCCAGACTCAATGTTGCTTAACTTCGATGATCAAAAAAGAAACCAGTGCTTCAAAATGATATGACTGTAAGCCAAACCTGGGCATAGTCTTATTTGACAAGAAAAATTTTAAGAGTAGTAATGATTGCTAACTTAATCAACCATTGAAAAGAAAATTATGGAAATTGTTTTATGAAAATAAAATCTCATTTAGTGGCAACAATTTATGAACAGAACATGTCTTAATTTATTAAATGTGAAAAGATAAGAGTTTAGGAAATAAATTAGTTACCATCCATCTAGTATTAATTAAGGTCTAATGGCTGGCTGTAACCTAAAATAATTAAAATAATTTCCCATGAAATTTCAGATTTTTTAATGAGTATACATGATTTAAATACAATTGACAAGTGACTCACCTGTGATTATTTCATCATTTGAAGTTGTACATTCCTCAAGGTTTTCTTTTACAAGACCTTTTTGTTTTGTCTTGCTTGAGGATTTAGTTAACCCTGAGAAGTAGAATATAGTTACATGAAATTAACTTTGTTAAAATTTTAAAATATACACAATAAGTACAAATTGTTGATTATATCACAAAACAAGGGAATATTTCACATGTCCAAATATTCTGTATATTTATAAATTCTCAAAAATTATTGCTTTTAATGGTTGATGGGCTTTTAGTTTTCCCCCCAAAATGTAACTTTAATGATGAGGCAATACAAAAAATATGGTAGAAAATAATCCAAGTAAACATTTCATTCTCTTAGAATTTATATAAAAAAAAAATGTTTATAAGATATGAAATCCGAGAAAATAAAAATTTCCACCCATTTTCATTGAGCAAATTGAAAACATCCTAATAGGCATGACAAATAAAGAGAAATTAATATTATTTGAAAGAAAATGGACAAGATATTCATTTGTGATTAGTAAAATAAGTATTTGTAGGCTTGTACATTTCATTGAATCCTTCTCCATTTTATAGTGGCAGGGTCCAACAGAAGCAAACTAGGTTACATAGAGATACTTTCATGCATGTTTGAGAGGCAGTGTATGAGTAGGCAATGTCTATTCAGGAGAATTAACTACTCTATTGAACTGAAACAAAATACTCATTAATTGTTATTTTATCATGGTGGACGGACTAATGGCCGATGGAAAGGCTCTCAGAAGCTGGGGAGTCGGAAACATCAAACTCAGTATCAACAACAGTGACCCTGTCACAGTCAGTGTGTTGGTCGTGGACAGTGCGTTATTAGGTTTTGACCTGCTCCTTGGGATGGATATTATTAAGGAGCTGGGCGGTGTACGCATCACAGAGGCAGGCGAAATCAAGTTTTCTAGTCTGCCCATCTGTGGTGCTTCGAGGAGGATCAACGTGCCCAACTTTAGCACAGAGTTCAATCAAAGGACGAAGACATGGACAGCACTGTGGAAATGGTCGGAAAATAACCCACCAGAAAAGCTCCAGAAGCGAGTGTCAGAGTACTCGGTGCCTGAACGCACCAAGGAAGAATACCAGTGTGAATTGCAGGTGTGGCTGGACAACGGATGGCTGACTCCATATCCTGAGGAGGAGCTTGGTCCTCCAAGAGGCCTCATCCCATTGATGGCCGTGGTACAGAAGAACAAAGGAAAGGTGCGCCCTGTACTAGATTATAGAGAACTGAACGAACATGTAGACACATACACGGCTCATGCTGATGTGTGTTCACAAAAATTGAGAGAATGGAGAAGAAAGGGGTTCAATGTCTCGGTGATTGACCTTCGAAAGGCCTACTTGCATGTGCACATACACTGGTCACTGTGGCCATTTCAGACAGTGATCCTTAATGGGAGGAGATACTGCCTAACACAAATGGGATTCGGGTTCAATGTGGCGCTGGCCATCATGAAAGCCAGCGTGGATGCTGTGCTATCCAAGGATGAGACAATTCATCAAGCAACGTCAGCTTACATTGACATCTACATCAATGAAACCTTAGTGCCCGCTGCACAGGTGAGAAAGCATCTTGCTAACTTTGGGCTCGAATGCAAGAACCCAGAACGACTGGAGGACGGTGCTCGTGTGCTCGGCTTGCAGGTCTGCGGGGAGCACAACATACTTTACTGGAAACATGGAAGCGAGCTCCCAGACATTCCCAGACACATGAAACGATGCGTTCTCGTTATGTGGAAAGCTGTGGGCGGTTGGATCTGCATTGCAGCTGCATTTATCAAAATGTAGGGTGACTGCTGTTACTTCCGGCTGGGATGACAAAACAAATGATGCTCCCCTTAGAGACATGATAGTGGAAGTCTTTACCAGGGTGCGTCAAGACGACCTCATACGTGGTGAATGGTGTGTTGACGGATGTGAATTTGACGTCTGGGTCAACATGAGCTCCCTTGCAACAGGAGCGTCTCTTGAAATAGATGGAACTGTCATGGAAAGCGCATGTTGGTTGCGTCCCGAGAAGGATACACAACATATCAACCTGTCAGAATTAGACGCCATTATCAAAGGAGTAACCAGATTCCGCATAAGTGGATAGTAGACACTCTTACGGGGAAGGCCAGGATACGTACAAAGGCTGCAAGCGAAATGCTTATTCGAAGGCGGCTAGACACACTGGGAAAGTTGGTAAGTGAATACAACTTATCAGTGGATATACACCTGGTTAGATCAAATCGGAACAAGGCAGATAATTTAACAAGGGTACCCAGAGATGGCTTGATGCTGTTAAGAAAGAGGTAGAGCTGGTAGAAGATGTCTGTGCAACATCAGCGAGCAACCGTAACTCAGATTTACTAAAATCTGTGCATTGCCAAAGCAGACATCCTGATGTAAAACAGACTCTATATTTCATGATGCAGAGTGATCCCTCCGTATCCAAAGCTGCTGTCAGGGCAGTGGTCAGAGAATGCAAGGAGTGTCAGCCCATCGACCCAGCACCTGTGCAATGGCCAAAAGGACAACTGAATGTGAGCAAAGTGTGGCACCGTGTTGGAATGGACATCACACATCATAATGGAACTCACTATCTAACCCTGGTTGACTGTGGCCCAACCCGGTTCACTATTTGATGACATCTGTGTAGACAGGATTCCACAAGCGTGATTGACCGCTTTCGGGCATTGTTCTTTGAATGTGGACCTCCAACGGAACTCCTCACTGACAATGACACTGCATTCCGCAGTGGACTATTTAAAGATTTTTTGGAATCGTGGAGAGTCCACCTCAGATTTCGCTGCGCATATGTCCCATCTGGAAATGGTATAATCGAGCGATGCCATCGGAGCATCAAGAGAATCACTGCCAGGAAGTAGTGTTCCATAATGGAAGCGGTGTAATGGCACAACATTAAAGACAATGTATCACTCTCAACTGTGCCAGCCAACATGATTTACCAGTACAAAGTCCGGCTAAGAGGCATTGACGCGACGCGTTCAACTGAACGAATAAAAGAACGAGTGCCGTATGAACTGGGTGATTACGTGTGGGTAAAAGCCCCACATAGCTGGTGTACAACTTGGTACCAGGGTGGGGCATGTCACTGGAATAAGTAACTCGCACTCTGTGCTGGTTGATGGAATACCAAGACATGTAAAAGACTTGCGTTGCCATGTAGGTTCAGATACTTCAACAAGTGACACTAGCAGTGAGTGTTCAGGAAGTGAAAGAATAATCACCATCGGAGGTAGGGCTAGCACCTCTTCAGATGGCGAAGACTGTGCATGAGGTTGTCAGATCAGAAGAATCCTCAGAAGATGAGTCTTCAGAACATGCCACATAACCCCATCCAACAGTCACTCTGCTCCGGAGAAGCTCAAGAATAAAGAGGCCTGCCCCCGATTGTCACTTATGTGACAGGGGGGAGTGTAGTGAAAGAGATAATCGGCTACCTTGAAAAATTACCAAAAAGTAGTCAGCAAAAAAAAAAAAAAAAAAAAAGGAAAAAAAGAAAAGAAAAAGAAATCTACTTTAAGGACTAGAATCTATGCTAATGTTCTTCCCTCCCCTGAAAGGCATGACCAATCAGAAAGATCTCTCGGTGAACAAACACCATTGTTCTTCGCTTATAAAAGCAGGAGATTTTCTGAGCTCAGGAGACAAACACACGTTTTTGCTGGTGAGAAGTGAAGGTTGGACGTGTGACCCCATTTTGTTGTTTCTACACTGCTTGTTGGACTGTTACAACAAGCTATCATTTGAACTGTGATTTGGCTACAAATTTTGCGGTCAAGAGACAGAAGAAATCTATTGCAGATGTTTGTTGCTACTATAAGTTGACAGTCTTTTCTTTTCAACCACAGTGTGTGCGTGTTTGTGTGTGTATGTGTGTGTGTGTGCATAAATATGCTATGTATCTACTGCTATTAAAACTATAAAGATGAATTTAGAAGATAACTGGACACCTTCAGGCAGAGACAGTTATAAGAAATCACATATTTTTTGTTTCAAATGTTTGATGATGTCCAAATGCAAAAAATATTTACCAATGTTTTCTGGATTTGTAACAGAGGATGGATCATAAGAGGAAACAGATTTGGAGTTTTTGTGCATTTTACTTGAAACTGTCATTTGTTGACCAGCTAAAATCAAAATAAAATAGAAATTTTCAATATTTAAATAATGCAACAATCAAATTCTAAGAATATGTACTTTATACAATCAAATTTTTATTTGCCAATTTGAAAATTTTATTTCTAAAATTATCATAGAATGATACATTGCATTCGGGAAAACAGGCTTATAAAATGATTATTACAAAATATGTAAGCAAATTAGAACATATCTAAAAATAAATTCTATCAAATTAAATTTTCTTTCTAGTTCATCTTATACATTTATAGCAAATTAAATCCCTTCTATGTATTGATGTTATTTTATCAGGCTTACAAAAGATATACTAAAAAAAAAAATTTTTCCACAAATCTTATGTTGCTCAGAAACGAAATTACAACCAATATTTGAAAATAACAAAAAGAAATTTTTTTTTATTCATTTTTTTTTTTTTTTTTTTAAATCAGCTTCTCGTCTCCAGGATAATGTCAAAATAATAAACTTGTGTCAAGTGTTTTGAACCCAAGTTGCTGCAGACAGTATTGTAGAAATGTTCTTACTTTTTCTTTCCATGTAATTTTCTAAGGGAGAAAACTCTGAACAAGAGTCCCTTTCCCGGTTCTTGAAACTGTCCTTAATAACCTGTGTGAATCTGTTCATGTTATAAAAAGTCTTCGGCAAAAATTCAGATTTCGTCTGGAAAAAAAAAATAATAATAATAAATAAATAAATAAATGAATGAATAACTGAATAAAATAAAAATAAATTAATTACCAAAATTAATATTTTCCTATCTAAACATAATGAGGGTTACTCTTACTCACCCCTTTAACATCCATATAGTGGTTTTCTAAGCATAGCTCTGCTGTGGCAAAAGGCCAAAAGTATGGGGCACCCAATGAGCCTTCTAAAATCCATATGAGTAACACAATATCATTACATTCTGGGAAACATCAAGATATTAATCTAAGCTTTATAAAGAGCCATTTAACTCTACTATTTATCAATATTTTTAGTTAATGATTACTTTAAAAATAAAAATATTTGGAGAATGTAAGTTCATATTTAAAATAAACTCAGCACATCACTAACACTTAACTATTTTGTTTAAATAAATCTAAAAAGAAAAAAATTACATAAATACTTTCATAAAAAACATTTTTTTTAATTTGGAACTTTATATATATATTTTAGTGGGATTGTGCATATTTAGGCAGCAGCATATTTTCATTCAGACAGCTTTGGTTAAATAATTTAGACATATTATGTCAATTAGTTTTTGTTGTGGTCCTTTCAAGTTTGCAGATTAATTTCTTGGTAGCATTAGAAAATTGATTAAGAAAAATACCAAAACTTTCTTTCAAAAAGTTTTATTTTCCCAAGTACGTTCAGTGCCATCTGAGACCATTTTCAGGGGTTATATATATTGTATATATATATATATATATATATATATATAATGTTTCTGTAAATTCAAAACATTTCAGCTGTTCGTTTTTACTGCTTATGCAGCATTCTAGTTTTCAAAGTTCAAGTGTTTTTGAGGATTTTTTCCAGTATAAGGAAATTAACTTTTCCATTTTTGTTCATACATATATAATTTTTTTTTTTTAATAATCATTTAAGCAGTATTTACCATTAGTTCACAATGCATTTGACCACAATTTTAACTTCATAAATGCCAGCCTAATCAGGAGAGGAAAGTATTCACTAAGAAGAAGGTACATTGAGAGTGCACTAATCTAACAATTCTCAACAAAAACCTAAGACCAAGACTTTACATATCACCAATCATTGCAAAAGCAATAGTAGCAGAATATGATATACAAGCTAATAAAGAAAACAGATCTACTCTTATATGGTGGTCATGAATCCCTCAATCAGACATTGAAAAAAAAGCAGTAGCAGCATCACAAAAAAGAATTAACTGACATGAGATGTATCTATCATAGACAGTAAAACAAGAGCTAGCTACCTCCAGGGATTAAATAAAGGACTGTGTTCAAAATCCACAAAAAATTACTGAATACTACAGACAATTGAAGAAAGTAAGAAGGTAAAATAGCTGAGATATTACTGTAACTCCCATGATGAGGACATAATCCAAATAAATCAATGTATAGTAGCATATTATTTGTCTATCAACTTGAAGGATTCACCATGGCTGCTGTTTAAAAAAAAAAAAAAAAAAAAAAAGTATATTTCACAAATACACATTTTTAAAGACTTGTATGAAGGTGAATTTTTCCTAATCTAAGAATATACTTACTGCATACCAAGAGACTTCGGAATCAGGAATATTTCTTACAGTGCTGAGATAAATGTCTACTCCAGCCATGTATTCAACCATCATTTTCTCTATGAGTAGATGCCGTAATTCATGCAAGTATTTAACACAACACAGCAATGTTTCTGCCAAAGAAACACTCAATGGTCGCATTGGCCACAATTCTTGATCAATCTGTGTAAATAAAAGCATTGCTCAATTCAGATTAGAAAAACTATAATCCCATTAAACAATGTAAAACTATATGACTCATCAATTTATGAAATCTTAAAAAATAAAAAAAATAAAAGAAAAAGAAAAAATTTCTAAATGCTTTATAAAGTTGTGACATCAAGTTCTTATATGGTTTGTTTGGAAAGTTAGTGCACACTTTTCTATTTTTGATATTTCAGATTTCACACCAATATGGTTTTAACAACTGAAGAATGTATATTTCTCATCAAACGCATATTTTGAGAAGGTGTCAAATACAGATTTTGCATGACAAAATTCCTGATAAATTTTCAGCTACATCAGTTTCACATCACAATGCAGTTTACAACCCTACTGATAAATTTTGGGAAACAGGATCAGTGGATGATGCCAAATGTTGTGGAAGGCCAGCAAAGCTATTGGCGGAGAAACTGTTGGATATTTCTGACAGTATGCAGCAGAATCCAAGAAAATCATTATGAAAGTTAGCACAGCAGCAAGATATTGATCTTGGAATTGCTCATAAGACCGTCAAGCAAAAATTACAACTCTTCCTATGCAAGATAATGGCAGTACAAGAACTGAAAACAACTGATAGCAGTTTCCAGAAACAAAATAAGGATCCAAGCCTGCATTGATGATATCGGGCGCCACTTTCAACATTGTTTATAATTTTCATTCATATTATCGCCCTTCGATCATGATTGTAAAAAAAAAAAAAAAAAAAAAAGCCATCAATACCTGAATTTCCTCCCTTTTAACAGGTAATATTTTTTTACATCACAAATCAATCAAGGTTTATGAAAAACGAAAATTTCAACTTATTCATTGGCCAGCTAAATTTATTTTAGTGTTTTAAAAATAATTCTGTAATAGAAAAAAAAAATAGATAAATACCTTGCTTCTTCCTTCACATGCATTGAGACCAGCAATTTCTTCAGGTTTTAAATTCAAGTGTCCAAATAGACAGACGGATAATGGCTGAACAAATTTTGGCCAGACGTTCTTCTGACCAACACCATACCATGCACGATGGACAAAAGTATCAGCTACCTAAAAAGGTAAATTACAAAACCATTAACATAAAACTGGAGAGTTAAGAAAACATAAATCAATAAAAAAAAAAAAATGAATGTATGTGTGTGTGTGTGTGTGTGTGTGTGTGTATTTATTTTAAACAGAAGCCACAAACGTTTTTGGTGATAATGTGGATTTATATATATATATATATATATATATAGACAAAAGGAAAACTTATCTTAGCGGACATGTATTGTCCTTTGATGTAAGTTTCTCAAAATTTTTTTAAATTTAAGAGACGCTCGTAATATTCACTAGGATAACTGAACTGTCTAGGTAAATTATGGAACATGGTGAGTGACGTAATTTATGTCTAATAAACATAAGTGAGTAAATGATATTGAATTCTTTTTTATGTAATATTTAAATTATTTTAGTATGGATAAATTTATACATTATTTAAATAACAAGAGGTTATGAATTTAACAGTTTTCATTTAATTTTTACAGATATATCTGAAATTATATAAATCAGTGTAGCAAAGTTTGGTAAATATATGTTGTGCCTGCAGAACCTATGTTTCCTGAACTTAAAGCCACAAAACAGAATCTTTTATAAGAAAACAAAATTAAAATCAAAATTCCATTGCAGTAATTAATATTTTTATGTTATTTGTCTCCTTATTGATATCTAGTCATTTAGCCCTGCATTTACCTAAATGTCATAACTATACATAACATATGTAATATGTATATAGCTCTAACATATGTATGAAAACGTTTTTTGTAAATAATACAGTGGATTGCTTGTTGTATTAAACTTTTAACCATGTTTTTTTTTTTCTACCCACTGAACATCGGTTCATTTACTACTATGATACTACAGTTGGGACGATCACATAGAAGTGAGTGGTGCATGATTTTATCTCTGCTTCAAGCTTTATGACCAGAATATGGCTTGAAAAGTGGCATGTTAAAAGCAGCCACCCATTCCACCAAAAGAGAATAAAATAATAGATAAAAATTTTAGGGAACAAATGACAAACTAATTGTTAAGGATTTTGGTCACAGGTTTACATTAAAAAGTCATTAATTGGAATTAAGGGGAGTTCTGAATCACCCATTGATATAGACAGTCTTTTGGGGTAGTTTCAATACTGATCATTTGAGTTGCCAGCAGCACATCATAATGTTAAGATGAGCAAAGAGTTGGTAGTTTGAAGAGTTGAAGGGAAAGAGTTGATCTGCTCAAATGACATGGCAAACGTAGACCCAACAGTTACCTAACTACACAAATCACAAAAAACATTGGAAACAGGGTTCAAATCTTCATTTCTTGCTGTAGCAGTTATATTCGCCTTTCATTTCCTTGTGAGCATGCAACAGGTCTTTCCCACATCAAAACTAACAAGAATAGAGACACAAGGAGTAGTGATTGTTCAGTCAGTATGCTACACTGATATATATAATATATAACCTGTTTTAACTTAGTTGTACTGTTTTTAATATAGCACATTTTTATATATATATATATATATATATATATATATATAAAAATCACTTTAAAAGTTATTTTAGTGGATACTCATATTTGAGTAGACATTCCATTTATTTATTAAAAAGTATATTTATTTATTTTTCTCTATCACCCTGAATATTTTAAAAATTTGCACTCTCTAGAAAGATTTGAGGTTGATTAAGGCTTAACAGTAGCAACACTAAGTTGCTTGAGAGTGCAAGTTTTTCTTTAAGATTTCTCAAACATTCAGGCCGGTAGACAAAAATAAATAAATACAGTGAAACCTCTCAAAGTTACGTTCTGTCAAACTTACTTGAATTTTGAGGGCCTTGTTGGATTTACTAAAAAAAAAAAACCTGTCAGACTTACCATTTGTCAAACTTACGCAAAATTTTTTGGAAAAAAAAAATCATGCCATTCTTCAAAAAAGCAACTTATGATCGAAAAAATCCAACTATACTGACAATTGAACAAAAAGCAGAGACAGTGGACTATAAAAACAAACATCCGGGGGAAAAGGCAGCTAAAATCGTCCTGTTTTTCTCTAAAAAGTTCAAAGTTAAGATTGACGGAAGATCTCTCCAAAATTATATAAATTCTAAGAGTAAAATCAAAAGTGAGAGTCATACATTGCCAAAAAATAAATCAAACAGGCCCGTAAAATATAAAATTATTGATGACGCTTTATCAAGTTATATTTCGCGAATAAACTCAAAAGGGGGTTTTATTGATGATTTTACAATAATCACACAATCAAAGAAGACTGCACAAGATAATGGAATAGAAGATTTTAAAGCCTCAAATGGTTGGCTCCAGAGCTTTAAAAAAAAAGACACAAACTGTCTCTCAAACCTCTACATGGAGAAACATACTGTGAGGAACCAAAAAACCATGATGAATTTCTTAGCCAAATTGACAAAAAAATCTGCATCTATGGTGAGGAAAATTTCTTTAATATGGATGAAACCGGATTATTTTATAAATTGATTCCATCTAAATCAGTTTGCCAAACAGCACGAAGAGGATATAAAAATTTTAAAGATAGAGTTTCCACAATGCTCTGTTCGAATATGACAGGATCCATCAAACATAAGCCGATGCTGATCGGTAAAACTAAGAAACCAAGATGTTTTAAAAATTTTACAGGGATAAACTTAGTAAATTATGTTTGTTCAAAAAGAGCGTGGATGACGTCTACTATTTTTCTGATTGGCTAGATCAATGGAATCAAGATCTTGTTCGTTTCAACAGAAAAGTTATACTTTTGCTTGACAATTGTCCAGCTCATAAATCTCTAAAACATTATTCTAATATTGAGCTTGTTTTTCTCCCAAGAAATAGTACTGGTGACTTACAACCTATGGATATAGGAATTATTAAGTCCTTCAAAAGCCATTTCAATCGAATTAAATTTGATAAAATCCTGGAAATGATTGAAGGTGATGATAGTGTTTATGAGAGCTATAAAAAAATAAATCTTGCTGATGTGATCACTTTTACGGATATGGCATGGGAAAAAGTGAGTAAAAAAGTGATAAAGAATTGTTTTAAACACCTCAAGGGAGAAAAAAATACTGACACCGATTTTAATGTCAATATCGACGAAGAACACCTCGAAGACTACTCAAATTACGCAAGGTTTATCGAAAAAGGGAAAATATTAGATGGGTTAGATTTAAAGGGCTTCAATTCAATAGAGTACACCAAAAACGATGAAATTGAAGAGGAAGTTTATGAGATAGAAAACTCGAAAAATATCGACAATATTGGGAGTAATGAGTCAGAAGAAGAGATTAAAGAAACTAAAACACCTATAATAACACACAAAAAGTCTTCAGAAGTTATAGAAGAACTTTTATTATACATTTCACAGCGTGAAATGACACCGATGACTATAGTTTATATAAATCATTAATCAAGAAGAAAGCAAGTATTAAGAAAGAAAAAAGTTGTCCGAGTACAGAAAACTTTATTTGATTTGGATTTTAAGCGTGTCTAGGGGTTATTAGGTGAATTTTCTAAAAAAAATTTTCTGTCAAACTTACCAATACTGTCAAACTTACCAACTTTTTTGTGGTCCCAACTTTGGTAAGTTTGACAGGTTTTACTGTATACTGTTTAATAAATAAATGGAGCACCTACTCAAATATGAGTATTCACTAAAAGTAATGTTTAAAGTGATAAAGATCTGTCCAATTAATAAAATACCCATTTTTTTTTAAAGCTTTTTAAGTGTTCATCATTATATAATAATTTTTACTTCATCTTTTGACAGAGCTCTCAATGGATCTATATAAGTCTTGGAAATTACATGGGATTACCAATAATTTTATTATATATATATATATATATATATATATATATATATATATATATATATATATATATAGTTTTGAGGTATGCTATATTTACAGGGTAAAAAATGCTCAATATCAGGGATAGTGCGTACGTAAATACAAAATGGACATTACGATCAACACCCAGCAGCAACAGTAGACCACAATGTCCATTTTATATTATATAATGTTTTAGTGTTCAAACAACATACTTGATAAAATATGCACAATGTGTGATGACTGGCAGAAGCAACCAATTGCTCAGATAGTTGAGATTATCTCATCATATGGCCTCACAATTCTGACTATCAATGGAATATCACCATGAAGATGATGTTGATAGATTTATGCTTTCACCATAAGTAGTCATATGTAAGTGATGAACAGCCACAACTAAAGCTTACGCTTTGTTTACTTGTTGCATTTTCTGAACTGTTAACTCTGAATCTAATTTAAACTAACAAATATTTATAAATGAATGCAGAATAAGCAATTAGTTTCAAAATATTCATGATATCAGTACACAAAGCAGAACACTGTAATTAGTGTAGTTTGTAAGGCAAAGTTTAAGATGTTATGAGAGATTACAATTTCCAGCTTACATTTCATTTCTGAAAAGTTATATTAGCATATGTACTGAGTAAATCAGATTTGAATGATTTATCCTCATATTCATAAAAGTAACTTTTCAATACACACAAGTTCTTTATATTCTTGTATATTTTTTTCTGACTGAATAAAGAATATTGTTGAAAAAACCTACATTATCAAAAAAGTTTCCAGTTTTTCAAACATACATACATATATATATATATATCTCCATTGATAAAACATTAGAAAATAGAGACATAAAAAAAAACTGAAGTTCTGTTTGCAAACCATTATTTTTTTTTTGTTTTTTTTTTCTGTCATGGAAAACTGGCAAAGAGAAAGTAGTGTGAGATTGTTCTGCATAAATCCTCTATTACCACAATCCAATTCAATGAACTATCATCTATTCACAAAGAGGATGAATTTTATTTGTAAAAAAAGTGGGCACTTGTTATAGTGAAACACACCTATTCTATTGTTAATAGACTCTCCCACCTATAATAAGTAGGAGTAGCAAGAGTAGTAGTAGCAGTCGCTAGGTCGGCAGTGAGTTGGTCAGTCAGTCTATGTCGGAACATTAAAGTATCATCCACCACAACTAGATTGCTGCGTCATTAACTATTATATCAAGTTCCTAACGTTTTGTACGTCGAACCTTTTTAGGACCGACTTAGTGAAATACAAGCCCCCACTGTGAAACTACTCTATAACAACTTTGGCGACGAGAGATTCGTACTCATACGGAGGAAAAAAAAAAAAAAAACTTTTCGTTCACTACATAACAATTTGGCAACCGAGGATTCGAACTCATACAGAGGAAAAAAAAAAAAAAAATTTGTTCACCATATATACAACACTTGGCGAGGAACGTATTCAAAATCATACGGAGGAAGAAAAACTTTTCATACGCATACAACATTTGGCAAACATATTCGGATTCATACGAAGGAAGAAAAACATTTGTATTCCATAACACACTTGCCCACAAGGATTTTAAATTCATACAGTGGAAGAAAAAAAAAGAATTTCACCCGCCATAACAAAAAAGTACGAGTATTCAAACTCGTACGCAAAAAAAAAAAAAAAAAAAAATTATTCAGCGAAGGGATTTGGATTCATACAGTGGAAGAAAAAAAAAAAAAAAATATTCACTCGCCACATTATTTGGTGATGATAGTCGTACTCCTACGGAGGAAAAAACAAAAACAAAACTTGCTCGTCAAATTTTCGGCAACATCTCAGATTCACATTTAAAAAAAAAAAAAAAAAAAAAAAATTGGCAAAGTTTTTCGAAAGACAAGATGTCAACTTAGTGATGAAAAAAAAAAAATCAGTCGTATTCTCAACTGAGAGAAGAATTTTTTTTCTTGATAAGACAGTTTGCTCAAATAGGTCACGAATTGCAAATTCGTTTTGGACCCCCCTCTACAATATTTAAGCATTGTGTAAACTTTTTGCGAAGATGGAGGAATGCAAAAATATATTCCAGGAATTTTTTAAGTTCCAGACGGAACAACAGATGACAATATTAGAGCAACAGAAAACATTCCAGATGCAATTACAGGAGGAAACTTTTAATAGACAGATGCAGTTTCAACGAGAAATGGAACAGATGCATATGGTGTTTCAAAACAAAATTCTGGAAATAACTGAGAAGAGGAAAGAGAAAAATCTACGAAATGATTCTTTCCCAGAGAATACAATATGGAATTCAATTGAAATATTCATGTACAGTCCGGATGAAGAGATAACTTTTGAGGAGTATTATAAAAAATATACGGACGTGTATAACGAGGACTGCCATTCGTGGTCTGAAGGAAAGAAGGTTAGACTTCTTTTAAGCAAGTTAGGAACTGCTGAGCATAGCAAATTGGTAAACTACATTTTACTGAAAAAACTAGCGAGTTGACATTTACCGAGGCAGTAAATATATTAAGTGAATTATTTAGTAAAAAGACATCTTTGTTTCACAAGAGGTGGAAATGTTTGAATCTGATGAAAGAGGACGAACAAGACTATATAACGTACACAGCAAATGTCAATAAGCATTGTGAAAAATTCAAGCTAGCAGAGTTAAGCGCTGACAACTTTAAGTGCTTAGTGTTTGTTCAAGGGCTGGTATCAGAAAGAGACGCAGAGTTGAGAAAACTAGTACTGACAAAATTGGAAAACCAACCAAGGATTATGATACAGAGTTTGGCAGAAGACTGCACAAGATATGTTAGCGTAAAGAAAGACTCGAAAAAGATAGAACAATCTGGCGTTTTGCATGTAAGGAAAATACGCTACAAAAAAGAAAGTCAGTCTACCAAAAAGAATTCTAAAATTGCGGATTATCAAACAAAAGTGAAATACCAGAGAAAAAAAAAAAAAAACTCCCGAAGCCATGTTTTGCTTATGTGAACTTCACTGGTACAGATATTGCAATTTTAGGAATAAAAAAATGTTTCAACTGTGGAAGAGTGGGTCATAAATGCTCGCACTGCAGGTCAAAAAATAAAGACAATAAAATAAGAAAATTAAAGTCCGACAAGGTGAACGAGGGAATAACCAAAAAATTTGTTACCGTCGAAATAAGTAATAAAAAAATAAAAATGCAACTCGACACTGGTTCCGACCTATCTATCACAAATTCGCGTACGCGGAAGAAGTTGGAGAAACCAACTTTAATGAAGACAAAGAATATCGCGAGGTCAGTGATGGGAGAAAAAATACAATTTATTGGAGAATTTATTACAAACATCACGTTAAATAAAAAAAAAAACACGAAAAGCTAAACTATTTGTCACAGAAAATACCACAAACTTACTTGGTATGGATTGGATAACAGAATTCCAATTATGGGATCAACCAATAAATTCTTTTTGTTACAAGGTAGATTTTTTAAACTACGAAGCCCAAAAATTAGTAAAGAAACTTAAGGGAACATTTCCTACTGTTTTTTCTCCAGGTTTGGGAACGTGCACCAAGATAGAGGCAAAATTACAGCCAAAAGAAAACGCTCAGGCGGTTTTCAAAAAGAAAAGGAATGTGCTGTTTGCTTCAATTGAACAGATAGATAAAGAATTGGACAGATTAGAGAAAACCGGTGTATTTAAAAAAGTTGAATGGGTAACACCGATGATATATGTGAAAAACAAGCTCCAGAAAGTAAAAATGAAGCCAACACCGAGAAAAACTGGGGAGCGAGTTACCCGCAACCAAGGACATGCAGTATTATTAAATGATTTAAGTCAACTGAAGTCACTACAGAAAACGTTAAGCACAAGATCAACAAAAGGGAAACTAGTGGCTGCACAAATAGAACCACAAAAGGAACCTATAGAAACTGACTCCATCCATAAGAAGCTCAAAAGCGGAAGGTTGTTTCTGGTAACACTATGGAGGTATAAAAAAAAAAAAAAAAAAAGAAAAGCGGATTGGCTATATGATGTACTTGGTGAAAGGCGAGAAATTCACATGCAGTAACCAGATCAGACGACGTTTTTCAGACGTGGTTGACAGCGGTCCCGCAGAAAAAAACGCCACTGGAGGTGATTTTCAATACGTTTGATCTAACAACGCCTGCAACAATTTTACCTGAGGAACGCCGATCCAGAAGAAAAAGAAAGGCAACTGATCATTTAAAAAAGTGGATAAAAAAAAAAAAAAAAAAAAAAATTTTTTTTTTCTTCATATTTTCTGTAAAAAAATGAAAAATAAGTAAAGAAAACCGTTTACTCCTACGAAGTAAAGTTTTAGGGGGGGATGTTATAGTGAAACACCTATTCTATTGTTAATAAACTCTCCCACCTATAATAAGTAAAGTATCAGCCACCACAACTAGATTGCTGCGTCATTAACTATTATATCAAGTTCCTAACGTTTTGTATGTCGAACCTTTTTAGGACAGACTTAGTGAAATACAAGCCCCCACTGTGAAACTACTCTATAACACCACTAACAATACTTTACACATCAGATCCATTTCTTAATATGCCACAAATATATCTCAGTAAATAAAATATAAAAAACTCTAACACCTTCACCTTTAGTCTTTCAAAACTGTAAAATATATAAAAGTTAATTTGTGACATTAGTCTGAAAAATAGAATGAAAGAAAAAAGAAAATTATTGCAAACCTGAGTATCAAAAACATTTGAGAGATTCACAGAATATTTGTGAAAAAGGAGATCAGAGATGAAACGGCAATCATGGATGATCTAGAAAAGAAAAAAAAATTAGACTAAATTAAATCTAAAAATGTTAGATTTTTATGACATCTTAAATAGGCAAATTTTTTTGTGTCAAATATAAAGTAAAAATTCAAAAAAGAATTTGAAAGAAGATACCTTGGTGATCTTTTTACTTTCCAATATTTCCTGCAAGCCATTCTTGAAAATTTTCTTTCCTAATGCCAGAAAGTCAAAGAGATAGACATGTCCATCTACAGAAATCTGAAGAAAAAAAAAAAAAAAAAACTGATAACAATCCTTTGAAAAGGTTAGGCCTGTAATATACTTTAAAAAGGAAAATAAAAAAGAATTTTTTTTCTTACTCAAGAGATAGAAATATTTCCTTATATTGTAATCAATAAGCATTTTCAAATGAAATTTTAAGCAATTAATCCTTATTAAGAGAATACATTTTCAAATGTAAATGTGCAGAATATTTTTTTCTTTGGTGTTTATGGCTCCCTTCAAATTATAAATCATATTATTTGCATGAAAATAATTCACAAAATACACAGTAGTTTTTTTTTCTTTGTTAAAAGCTGAAATATATTTGATAAAAGTAATTGGAAAACAGACTTGTTGACAAATCAACATTCCATTTACACGAGTGATTTTTTTATTTATTTTTATAAACAAAATCAAACCACCAATTTTTCCTGTTTACTAATTAATAATGCAAAAGCATGTTTTTCACAATTACTTTTTCTCTTACTAAAAGTAGTTTGGATAAAATGTTCAACATGATAATCTTATGGCATATCAAAATGATACATAGGAGTCATGAACTGCTGAACTTCTTTTTTACATTTAAGTATCTTATAAATGATTAATAGAGGTTATCCTTTGGTCTTTCAAAGGATACTTATACCTATAAAATTCAATTCACTAAAGCATTTCAAACATTGTTGTAATGAAATGTCCCAAACTCTCTATCGCATATGTGAACTGACTATATTGGTAGATATATATATATATAGTGAGCACAGGATATATCTGGGACTGGCTTTGGGAATTACTAGCCTGCTAACCAATTCCCTGTCTTTCAGTAGTGTATTCTCTTTTACAATAAACCTCTCTTCTTTCATCTCTGCCAGTGTTGCTGTTCCTTTCACTCAAATATCACCTTTGTGTGTTTGTAACCTTCTTAAGGATACAACACATATCAACCTTTTCTTGACTATTTATGAATCTGCAAACAAGGAAGCCAGCTATCTCCCAAATTACCATTCCATCAGGAGTAAAAAAAAAAAGATTTGACCAATTTGTGGGATTTTATTTATAGGAACATTTTGACTTATTAAATCACAAAGTGAAATATAGTTAAAAAAACTATTATTAACAAGTTCAAATGACTTGACAGTTAACATTGCCTGATGCAAGTCAATCGCATTTGTGTCAGTTGCATCTACAAAGCTCAATCTTACATTACACTGATATCCCTACAGGCCACAAAACTCAAGAACAATCTTTAAAATAGATTGTGATGCAAGTCTGGATATATATTTGCCCCAAATTCTAAAAAGTGTCTAGTTCCAACAATTTTGCATAAAAGATTGTGAACTTGGATAAACAAAATACTTACTGCTATCCAACAGATTTTTCCATGCCTTCCTTCTCCAACAGATACTAAATGAAATCCTATCATCGTCTGTTCTTGAAAAAGTGCTATCTGGAAAAATTAGTAAAAATAAGTAACATGTACAGGAAAAAAAAAAAAAAAAAAAAAAAAGAAAAGAAAATATACATTTTTGGTATCAAATTTAAAAGAATTAAGATAAAATAAAATTACACATGACTATCTGAAGCTCTCCCCCACACCATACACACACACCAAACTCATCTACCTAAATATCCTTTTTTATGATAGCCTAATAAATAATTAAATAAAGCAAAGAGAAGTAAGAAGGAGTGAATTTATTTTTGGTACTCAAAACAACTATTGCTTCACCCACGCCCAAAATAAGCATTTGTGGCATTTGGAAAAGGACAAATATATTCTCTGCATTTTTTTTTTTTATTTGGAGAGTGTGCTTTATTTTCATATTTTTCATAATGACAAGAAACAGAGGTGCTGAAAAATTCTCAGCATGGCCCACTTCCTAAATATTATATTTGGTCACTGAAATGTTCAATTTGATAAGTGTACCAGGCCAAGAACTTTTTATCATCCTCTCAAAATACTCAGATGTTCAGTTGATTTTACAACATATCAACCTTTTGTTGGGTCATTTAATGTCAAATTTTCCCTGTGGTACCCAGTGAGGATTAACAGTTTACTACTCAGTAGTAATGGTGAACCAGATGAGCCTCAGTAACCATTATTCCATACAAAATGATGCAGTTGCTTTTTGTTTTTTTTTGTGGGGATACAAAATCATAAAATAAAAACAAATACATCAAAGAAAATGTCATACTGATATAAAATTTTGAGATGTTACTAAAAGACCAGTTAGTTCAGAAAGAACTCTGAAAAGGTGATAAGCAAGATAATAGTACTTAATGACCATCAAGTAGATTATAAATCGATTGTTTTGAATGACTTAAGCCTTTACACGTTATTTAAAGCCAGAAAATGCTTTTAGATTGTAAGAATTGAGGCGGGGGGGGGGATAATAATAGTTTAGTGATACAAGTTAACCTATAGATGTGGAGAGAGAGGGTGGATTCATACCTTTCCCAAGGGTATTCACATGCAAGTTAATGCAACAAACCCAATGGGAATTGAACTCAGCTCTCCAATTAACATTTCCAAGCCATTATCCATTACACCACATGAACATCCAAACTTTAGGTGCTGACTAGGTTCGACATTGCTTAACATTGTGGGTTACATGAGAACCTGTGTTTCAAAGATTATAAATTTAAAAGATTTGTGAAGGGCTGAATAAAACTACAGGGAAATAACTAACACAATATATAAGTCTATTTATAAACAAGACAGAAATGTAGAAAGCTGTCTGTATTCACATAAGTAGCCAAGTGTTTTTAAGATGAGATTTCCACTGGCAAGTACTAAGTCTTCTAGATAAACTAAAGCAAGACTTCGAATACCAATGTGCAAATAAACCCTTTTCACTGTAGGTGCGGGCACAACACACTTTTCATTCCCAAACATCTCATTTGCTCTTGTATCAGACAAAACTTCAAAACAGAACTAAGGCAAGAAAAAAATAAATAAAAAACAAAGCCCTAATATTTCCTCTATTTGGCATGTCTTAGAATTGCTTAAAAACATTGTTCTTTGAAGTAACAGAAAGAAAAAAAAATGATACTTACAGTATCATGGAATTGGTCATTGAATTCCTCAATGATGGTGTATCTGTCACAGGAACTTGCAGAAGGATAATCAAACCTCTTGTTGGTGTTGATATTTGGGGATGAGTCATCTGGGAGAAGAAAAAAAAAAAAAAAAGAATTTAACCACAACAAAAATTCCAGTACATACAATACTAACAAGCTTGCAGAATTGTAAAAGGAAATGGAAGTGAAAAATCAAACCTGACAATAATTGCAAAGAGACTAAAGAATATGCATTTGAAGCCAGTTTTAGCAGATTTACAAACATTTGCAAAAGAAAAATAGCATTCTCAATTTACATGTCAGATAATTATCCTTATTTAAATGATCATGAGAAGTGCTAGACTTCGAGTGAAACAAAATACTAACAGCAGTAAAACTTCCTCAGATGATAATAGAGTAAACTAACACAAGTAATGGGCAGGTGTGTGTGTGTGCGTTTCTTTTTGTTTGGGAGCAGGGGGAGGGGGTTATAGTTTCATCCAAGACAGCCAGAGAGACACAATATAGAATCTCTTAACCAATTATACACTTGAGAGAAGCTGTAGAATGGATCAACTGAAAGACTGTAACAACATCAGCAACACTAAAGAATTTAATTATCCAAATAAAATTGGAATGGTAATGACTTTTCAAAGTTCTACACAAATGTACTTAAACCATTAATATGTGGAGAATTCTTGTATTCAAATATTTGCTAATGGGGGTGCAAGAAATGACCACTGTCAGATTTTAAATCATTTTATGGAAAACAAAATGGATTGACTTACAAGCTTTAGAAATGATTGGAGAAACATCTTCATAAGCTGGAGCCTCATCAGTTCTGAAAAAAGTCAAATTTATTGAAATTTCCAAACAGATTAAACAAGATTAAAAAAATATAGCAGTATCAATGTAAATTAATCATTTGTAACCAATTTAAATTTAACATTTGCTTACTTATAAAGATCTCAGTATATTTTTCTGTTAGTAAGACTACATATAACATTTATTTTGCATATAGTATTAAGTAACCAAGTGAAAACAAGAAAAGCTTATGTCAGAGAGCCATACAGTAATATATTCAATTGCATGGTTTGATAACAGGTCACAGTAGTATAATCAAAGCATATATCAGTTTTACACATGGTCAGATAAAAGCAAAGCACATAGTCACAACATGATTTAAATGTCTAAACTATGTGATTTTAAGCATGAATTTAAACATTAATAGCAACCAGATAGCCATAGCCAGCAGCAAGTGTCAAACAAGAGATTTTTTTTTTGTTTAGATCCTACTGGGCAACTTTATCTTGTAGGTGAAAGTGGTCAGGCAATTTGAAATCAAGAATACCACATCTCTAGTTCAATCTCTTTTCTTTCCAACTAACCTTCCAAACAAAGTACAAACTCAAAATCATAAATTTCCCAGTTGTGTTTCTACAATTCTAACACAAGAACAAGAATAAAAATGATTATATTAGAATTGGTGTCATGAACAATATGAAAGTTTCACATGATGCATCTAATGAATTCATTAACATTAGATTAGTAAGTGTTATTGAAATGTTTTTTACCTAATTTCATGCAGCACTTACTATAGATTCTATTATTCCAAACAATGAACAATGTGTTCTTGTTTAAATCTAATGACATGAATTCATTAGAAGCATAGGTAAGTGAAATTTAAATCATCAGATCAAAGTTAGATTGACAAAACACTAAATATTTAGCAAACATTTTAAATCTCAACAAAAATGAATACATTATTAAAACAATAATTTATTAAATTAAAACGTGTTTCAGTCTAATGCTTTTGCACTAATTCAAATAATTAAGAGAAATTTCTTATGTGCCATGTTCATTCAGGACATGAATGATCACATCTTTCCACAACATTCTATCCTTTCAGTAATGTGTCTCCTTACTATGCTTCCCTGTTCTGCCATCCATTTACACAGATTGTTATATAGGTTACTCAATGTTTATCTCTGCCCCACTTGCCATTAATTTCTTGTGAATGTCAAATTCTCTGAGCCATTTTTCATCATTATTTGTCCCAGAAATTTCAACTGTTACTTTCTGATTCTAAGTACAAGTTTACTTTTTATTTCCATTTTAAAGCTTCTTCATTAATTACATGCTCCATCCATGGTATTCTCAGCATCCTTCTATAGAACCCATCTATTGCCACAATTTTACTCTTCATCTGTGATGAAACTGTCCAACATTCATTGTACTTATTTTTTTTCAAATATAGTTCAAATGTATTTTATAATTTTCTTTAACTTATTCACCAAAAATAATTTTAAGTGTTCATTAATAATCATTATTATCCATTATTGTTTTCCTATTTTTAAACAGAACATGCTGAAAAAAAAAAAAACAATCAAGCTAAAAATAGATGTAAACTTTGCTAGAAAAATTCTTTTGCAGAAGTGAAAATTCTTTTGCAAAAGTGAAATGCTTTTCTTGATTGTACATTTGAAAAAAAAAAAAAAAAAAAAAAAAAAATAAAAAGTAATGAAGAAAAATTTTAGCAGATGGAACTACTTACTGAGTAAATATTTCTAGGACATTTCATTTGGATTAATCAAGAAATTAAATGTTTGTACCTTCATAACTTTTTTTTATACTAAAGTTAAAATTCTCAACTTGTGGCATAGTTGGGTGAAAGACTCCATCTAAAGTGATTAAAAATTAATTCTTTATTTAAAATACAAAACTCACGAAACAATTTTCCAGTGTTTCAGGTTAACTAAAGTTGAAAATTGAGCCACTTTATTTTTACTTGGTACTCTTAAAACATTCAAAATAATAAATTAAATACTACTTACTTGATAACTGCACAAGGAGGTTTGTCCATTAATGATTCATCATAATCATCATCTAATACCACTGCAATAAACAACCAAAACAGACTATGAATCAAATTATCTAAGATTTCAAATTATACACAACAATAAACAGTTAAGGAGAACTGTCCAGTTCTATTGTTCAATCCTCGATATAAAACTGGTGAGATTTGCCAAATGTGAATTGTAAATTTAAATGTACAAGACCAGTTGCCTTCAATTAATTTTGGAAATTTTCTTCAAAGTGCAAATGTGATAACTTTTACACATCAAGCTTGTTGCTCACAGTTGACCATTATAGAATTAGGAAGTTTATGCTTTGGTCTTGCATTATGAATTAGGAATGACCAGTTGTATCATACAACATTGACATACAACCAGATTTCAGATTCAGCCATTGGCCAACATTACACTGGTAATCCTGTTTGTGCTAACACTTTTTTCAAAAGAGTTGCATGGTTATCACATCCTTTGAAGATCCTTTATCTCTTTATTTATAGGTAACAACATTTCCTCTGTGGGAAAAAAAGGCTTTCTGTATTCACTTAAACCACTAAGTATTATATAAGTTGGCCTACTGTCTTTCTTGTTCAGTTAAATTTTTTTTTTTCATTACAAAATGAAATAAAAGATAACATAAGGATTACTTTCCAAATATTTGACATTTTTACTTGTGTTTTCAGATTTTCTTTTAAATTAATCAACAACCCTTGTTGATAAAGGTTGATTAAAAAGCTAACCATTTAAGAGGGCCTACAATCAATTATTTTCCTATGCAAAATTAAATTAGGAGAGAAAAAATGTTTTGAAAGTAATTTTCAGCATGTCTCAACTTCTTTGTATTTTGCTTAAATACATTTATCACTTCAGAATAATCTTTTCTTGTCATGTATATACTTAGGGCCATCCTGGAACATAATTGAGGAACGCATGACTGTAAATGGCTTTCAAGTCTTTTTCACTTTTCTGCTTTTGGATTATGTTTTGTAATAATCACAAGATTAAAATACCTTTGGATTTGGTAAAAGAAACACTGGTACTTAAATCAATATTGTTAAACATTATCAGTACATTTTACAAGTGTGAATTGATGCCAATTTGATTCATCAACAGGAAAAAAAGCAGATTATCATTATTTCCAGCTTCTTGAAGTTACTGTCAGGAAGCACAGAATTACTGAATCGTCAAAATTGATGTTAACAATTGTTTTAAACAAATGGCAATCATCTGTAGATAAATGTTAATTCAGACTGGCTGTAATTTTGCTTATTATTATGCACTCTTCTGTATTGTAATGATGACTATTTTGTATGAGATTACTTGCACCGACTGTATCTAGACTCTGCTGCTTGTGTTAAGTTGTTGGATTTTGATTCTTTCTCAAAGGTTACATAATTTATGTTGTGCATCCCAATGTTTTTGGTGAATAAAAACAAAGAAATAAATTTGGGTTCTATTCAACATAAGTCCATTGATTTCAAACTTTGGTTAACTGAAGATAATAAACATTACGTTCATCTGTTGAAAATTATTCTCCATTCGTGGCTTACAGAAAAGACAGAACTAATTTTTAGTGACAATGGAGTAAAACAAGTTGCAAAATGGGCACATTTTAAACAGTTATATCGTTTTGAATCATAGACTAGTTAAACTTTCAGATTTAAATGAAATTTCCATTGCTCCAAAGCCCATAGAAAGACAACAGGTTTCTACTTGCCTCAGAGTGCTTTCAGAAAAAAAACAATGCACTTCTCTCACAGTCTGAAAGAAGTGTGGATAAAAATGATACTGTCATCTTCATAAACAAGGTTTTAACATGGTGGAAAATTTTAAATGTTAAGACCCTTCAAATTGATAAGCTACACAATGAACCTCTATAAGATGAAATTAGATCTCCAAATGACAGCCGACTTGATTTTATCATTGAGTTTGGTCAAATGACTCTTAATATGGCTAGCAGTCCTGGTAATTGTATAAAACAATTATGCAAACACACTGCTATTATCATACACCATACTTGCAATGGAATTGTCAATCCATGTCAACACCATTTAGCTACAAGCCATAAATATTTCCAACTTGGGCAATTTACAACTGATCTATTAGAAAAAGAATTTAGTAAACTTTGCCAAGAATCAGGTGGCAACTATTTTAGAAATGTCCAACAGTATATTGAAAAGCTGCATATTAACCTGATATCTTTACTTTTAAATCAGAATGCAAATATTGATGCTTTTGATGTTAAGCCACATCACCAATCTCGTGATTATAAACTTTGTGAGGAAGGTTCAGAAATATTTATCTGGAAACTTTAGAACCATCTGTTTCTGATGAAATAAAAATGGCTCTTGTATACATAGCTGGATATATTACAAGAAATGATAATCAACCCAGTGAATATTAAACCCATTTTTATTATGAAAAGTATAGAAAATGTACCAATTCAATTGACTGTGGGAACTAAAAAGGTTCCTGCTGATCATACTTGTTATTTTTTATAGTTATTTTTTGTTTCATCCTTTTCCATACAATAAAAGAAAAGGTGTGTTATAAACCATTAAGTAATATTTTTATGATTATTTCCAAGTTTCATTTTTTCAATATGCAGAAAAAGCATGTTTAGTTTTGCAAACATTACACACCCAGATCAGATAAAGAACCAGCATTAAAGGCTTTGAAACTTTCCTAGAATGATTTTGTTTTATCTGTCTATCTGAGATGATTGATTGTCTTATACATATTTTTAGCTGATGCCCTCCAGCCTTCTTCAGGTAGTGTTTGTTGAACCTAATAACTTTAATGGAAATTTGAACTAGCTCTTTATTCAGTCCCTGAGTGTTGATTGAATAAAGGGTTTGGTGAGACTTGTAAATAGTGTGATTGTTTCTGTTTCAACATTATGTGGATCATATCTTTTACCAGAAATCTTAACTACCTTCTTTTTTTTTTTTTTTTGTTTAATACTTATCAGTGTCCACAACAAAAATACATATTTTCATTTATTTAACTTTCAACACATCCTATTATCCACAGGTATGGGTCAAAATGTTATTCTAAGTATTTTCAAAAATAGTTAACATAATTTTTTTACAAAATTTCTGAAAATCAAGCATTTTTCAATAGGCCTCCAGTTCTGGCTCTCAGTTGTACCATGAGCAGGTCTGGAGTATAGTATGCCATGGGCTAGACACAATCTTTATAAGTGGTCTAAAATCTAATGCCATCTGCCCAGAAACTGATTGAGAACAGTCTTGTAACTACCTTTAATCAAGAGCTCTGGAACAGAATTCTACATTACAATCTTCCAGTGACAATGCACAAACATGTACTAGAATTGACATATGGTCTGAAAGTCAAACATCTACTGATGTCTCTAAGAGACAGAAGTAGGCAACTTTGATAGAATTGTCCAGCAGAGGAAACTACACATAAAAGATGTGGCAAAAACTTCCATTCAGCAAGGCCTGAAACATTTGCACTTCAATCTCAAACTATTACTGTAATGGCAGCTACTTAAAATATTTTACTTACTGCTATTACCTGGTTTAAATTAAATAGGAAGAGGGGCAGAAGACTTATGTACATAGGTAATATTGGGAGCTTTCTATATCATTTCCTTGCTTGGATACATTTGCACACATATCCAAATTCCAGCATTACATCTATGGCATTAGTTTCACTGAGCTATGAGATTCCTGATTATTGTTTGGTGAATATAGAGCTGAGCAGACCTATATGTGAAGACCTGTCTGTGCTATCTGATTTATGTGCTAATGTAGGACTGCTTAGACAGGGTTTTAGGAAGTAACACCAGAACACCTCTGTACATTTTGGCAGATAGCAGTAACCTCAAAAACGAAAAAAAAAAGTGCAGATTGGCTACATTTTGCTAAGCTTACCAAATACTGAAACTTATTAGAATAACCAAATCCTTTTCTTTTGCTCTCTCTCTTCATTAGTTTAGATATGACATCTCAAACAGTGACTCAGTGCTTCAAGCCAGTTATTTCCAGTTTTTGGCAGGATTGCATTTAGATATTTGGACAGAGATACTTCATTTATCAAAATGGAGCAAGATACTTAATGGAATTATATAGCAGACAGTAACCCAAATCATGCATTAGGTGTTTCTTCTACAAAATGGATGCATTCAATATATATTCAGCTGTCAACTACTACTAACATTACTCTACATGAATGACTAATTTCCAATGCTGATCAACCATAGGTTGCTCTTTTCCAGCATGGTTGTCTACATATGAATCTGCCCTTTTGAGGCATATTGTGTCAGATGAAGAACAACCCTGACTGAAAATCTACTTTAAGTAAATTCCCTTTATGCACAAATTAGTCTTAAGAAAACACAACTTCAATATTTTACCCAGCATGTCATTTATAAATGAGCTTGTCTGAAATTCAGGAGTAAAGTCTTGCTCCTGATAACATAAAAGCATCAGATAACCATGTTACAGTATCTCTTCAATTATGTGTACCACAATTTTTCAAAATTTATATATCTAGATGTGAAATAAGACAAATTGAAATCATTTGGACATTTTTCAATTATCCAAACTAAACCCATTCTAATATTTCATTTCAGAAAATTATTTTGAGAATTTGGAAATACTGATAAAGATTGGTTCAATTAATCCTTGTTAATTTCTTTGTTTTCATACAAAGAACATGCATTTGAATTATCACAGTGACCAGGGTATTATGGAACACAGTTGAAAAATGTTGAAGAGGAGGATTTAGCCCATGCTAAAGTTCAACAGCTCTAATGCCAAATTTCAAACACTGAAGTAATTATTATATTTATTGACAAATGTTTAAGTTGGTTGCATTTTCAACCAGAAGACACCCTTACAAATACACCTACTTTAATCCAGTTTCCAGAGTTAGTGATAGAAAAACATTAGGAAACAGACAAAATTGAGCCATTTGTTCATAAAAAATAAACCAAACAAAACATTTGAAAATGCTACAAGATAAATGTTAAATTTCTTTCAGAAAATGATTTTTTTTTCTTCATTTTCAGTTTGAATAATCTAAACATATTTTTCAACCCATCCCAAGATGTACAGATAATCAAGGAAGTACTGTATTAGGAATCTGATCAAATCACAGTACAAAACTGAATTTATTAATCCTATGGACAAATTCTCAATTTCTTGCATGACAGAAACATTTTTCTGATAATCAGTTACCTTTATACAAATCCAAGCACCAAAACGTTTGTATTCTAATGAAGTATTGCTAGATTGTGTTTATTTTTTCTTGCAAACATTAAGTCAATTTTTTTTCCTTTATGCTGATAATTTCATTTAGCAGGAGAATAATTTTGTTTATTATTTATTATGAAGTCTTCTGCATTATAACAATTCAATATGAGATTATGAGCATCATGGCTGACAACATATTTGGTTGGAAGAAAAGTTCTCTTGGTTTCTAAATAAAACTTCAAAAGTTTGTATTTTACTGGTTGAATGAGTTTCCTCTTGAATTATTCATCTCTTTAGCAAAGGTTAAAAAAAAAAATAACTAAAATAAGCAGCATTACTTATACTTACTATCAAGAATTTCAGCAGCATAAAAATGCCTGATACCTAGATATTTGTTTCCACTTACTGGATTAGACACTAAGAAAGAAAAAAAAAAAAGAGAAGAAGCATTAAACAAATTTACATTCATTGTTTCAACTGTTCAAACAAACTGGATGACTTTTCATGCAGCTGAAAGTGAAATTTCATAGCTCCCTCATGCCTCTATAAAAAGAAAGAAAGAAAAGAAACTCATAAAAATAAACACTTTATAGATTTCAGTTAAATTGGTCACCCATGAAGTCAACTCTTTAAAAAAAAAAAAAAAAGTATATCTATAAATTTCCTTTCTTTTGGACCATCAAGCTGTTTAACTGGACCAGTGAGAACAAACCAAAATTACCTTTCAAATGGTCATTACTAACTCATTCTCCCTCTGAGACAATATCTGCAGTTTGTCATAAGCAGCTAATTAGGAGGCAATGAAAATATATAAGTTACGGATTTTTTTATGCTAGAAGGTAGGTATCTTCAATAATTTGCCGAAAAAAACAGCATAACAGAATGAAAAAAAAAGGCCCCAAAACTTAAAGTTTTATCATCAAAATGTTTATGCTATTATTAAGAGGAAAGTAATTTTTAATTATTTTTTTAAAAATTTTTTAATCTTTTCTAGCACATCCAAAATTTTGGTTAAAAATCTTTTTCATTTTTACATCAGTGGTCATGTAATATTTACCATTAATTTTTTAGCACCTTTTCAGTTGAAGCATATATTCATTTGGAAATTCTTTCAAAAATCAAATAATTGTTGGATTTTAGTGAAACTTTCAGAACTTATTCACAAATGAATGAAATTATTTTAGAATTTTTTTTTATTTATAGAAAGACATGGTAAATTTTTTTTACATCTATTACCCCTACTTTACTTAATTTATGAAAACTCGAAAATTTGACTCCTGTGTAATTTTGTCATTATATTAGTTAAAAGCAGAAGACTGAAAAATAAATCGTCAATTTTTTTTTAAAGTAAATTTTGACCCAATGTTACCCAAAATTCAGCTCTGAATCATAAATTACAAAACCCAATAAAACTAAGACATTATTTAGTTAAAAAAGCTTTTAATGGCTTTTATGAATAATATATATTAAGGATGCTATTGTCTGGAGTCAAATATTTTTCCAATTAAAAATAAATTTTTACAAGAATTGTTTTTTTTTTCCCCAATTTTAAATACAAAATGTGATAAATTCATTAAATATTTAGAATTAAGTTTGAATCCATGTATTTTTGGAAATGCTGTTATTAAAAAAGATCTATTTTTACAGATCATAAATTTGAAAGTTTATTACAATCTGCAATACGATAATATTTTTAAGATATTTTTTAATATGCAAAAAATATATTAAAAACGTTTTCTCCAAAAGTATAGATGCACAGTTCAGAAATAATAGGTCATGTTTTAAGAGAAAGGTCTTAAGAAATTGCTTTGCTTTCTTTACCACATATGAAATTCTCTGAGTGACCACCATTGTTGCATTTTCAAAATTTTTTAATTTAATTTTACATCCTATTTCAATATTTTAATTTCATTTTTTTTTTTAAATATAATTAATTTATCGTTTTCAGTGAAAGACATACTGCAACTATTATTAATTATTTTCTTTTCTTAGATTCAATTTTAGAGACATAAACAAAGCAGACTTTAGGCATTTCTTTGTTAAAAAAAAAAAAAAAAATCAATACTTTTGCAAGCATTTAATTTTTAAAAATTAAATTATAGTTTAATAAGCTGGTTCACTTAAAATTAAGTACCTCCACGAAATCGCTAAAAAAAAGAGCATAGCTTGATGAAGAAGATGCCAACCTTGCCGAAAACAAAATTTTATCATCTAAATACTTATGTTATTATTAAGAGGAAAGACCAAAGGTTTTTTTTAATCATTTTTAGCACATTTTTTTGGTATGACACACATTAATTTGAAAAATCTTGCAAAAATAATTGTCGGATGTTAATGAAACTTTCAGAAACTATTAACGGATGATCGAAATTATTATAAATATGTTTTTTTTTTATTAAAGTCATGGCAGAAATATTTTAAAAAAATATTTATTACCCCCCACCATAACTAATTTTATGAAAACACTAGAAATTCGATCGCATTGGGTTTAGTGATTACAATAGTTAAAACACAAGGCTTTAAGGAATGCAAATCATGTTTTTTTTTTGTTTTTAATTGGACCCCCCTTACCTGAAAATCAGCTCTGAATTGTAACATACAAAACTCAATAAAATAAAGATATTATTTAATTTCAAATGCTTTTATTTGCTTTTAGTTGTTTTTATGAATATAGACAATATTTTCTGAAAGCAAAAAGATTTTTTCGATGAAAAATGAATTTTTAATACAATTATTTGTTATTTCTTAATTATAATAGATTTTTACGTTTAAATTGTTAAAATATTATAAAATTAGTTAAAAGCCGCATCAGCTTTCCTAAGTCTCCTTATGAGAGAGATCTTTTTTTTTTAGCGAGTTGTAAATTGTATCATTTTGACTAATCAGAAGATCCGCAGTAATTAAGAAATGTAATTTTGTGTTTATAATAGGGCTGTAATTATAACGTACGGAAGACAAACCAGAATACAATTAAGTTGCGTTATTTGAGTTAATCATTGTTCTCCGCTGTTAAGGCCTTTACTTTTGCAAAACACGTGTGAAGTTAATTTGATTTTTCAATTTCAACTGAGAAGGATACCTACAAGTATCAGTATCATCTCATGAAATTTACATGATCTTATTTTTATATTAATCGCAGTTATGACATTTTTCCATAAATGAAATATCAAAATTAATAAACTGAATGTAAATACAAATAACAGTAAAATGTATTAAATGTACATAAAATTATAGTATTTTATGTACACTTCTGATAAAATTTCATAACAAAAGGTACAATTAAATTAATTAGATACCTTTCTTATGAAATATGAAATTTAATGTCACTCTTAACAGTCTTATTTTAATTTCTTTATAATATATTTTCCAAAAAGCATCGTAAGTGTAAAGGTGAAAGCTAAGTAAAAAAAAAAAAAAAAAAAAAAAAAAAATTAGAGCGCTGAAAGTTTCCCTTAATAATATCGAGGTAAATAATTTGTCCCCTTAAATGTAAATTATTTCACTTTTCTCCTTCCGTAGAACAAATTAATCCTCATGGAATCCGTCAATATGTCATTCCTCACCTATCAAGTGTACGCGAGAAGACAAACCAGAATACAATGCTTTGCTTTATTTTCAAATTACATCTTTTCGGCGCAGAAGCTAAGTTAAGCTTGGTTCAAAATATTTTAAATAAACATTATAATTTCTGATTTTCTTAAAATAAGTTTTGAAAAAAATGATAATTGATATTTAATAGAATTTCAAAGTGGGATTTCCATTTTTTTTATAAAATGGAAAAAAAAATGATCAATTTTGCAGACTCCAAAAAAAAAAAAAAAAAAAAAAAAAAAAAAAAAAAAAAGATTTAACAAAAATTTTGGACGTGCTCGGAACAATTAAAAAATGTAAAAAAAATACCCCCAAAATACTTTGATCTTTCCTCTTAATAATAACAAACATTTAGGCAATAAAATTTTGTTTTTCGTCAAGTTTGGCGTCTTTTTCATCATGCTATACTCTTTTTTTTAGTGATCTCATGGAGGTACCTACATAAAATTCAAAAAATACTGTCAATTCTGTCCTTTCATCTGATAAATTGCCCTGACGTTAGTTGTCAGTACATTGACGTAAACATTAATCCATACCTCCACAAAAAAAAAAAAAAAAAAAAAAAATATCACCATGGTTAGACATGCTTCTCTTATTTTCAACTAAATTTTTTCTGCTAAAAAATTAAGTAATGTTTGTTTCCAGTTACATTAAGTAAACTTTAAATTTTCTAATTTTCTGCAAATAACTTTTGAAAAATTAAATTTTACAAGATTTTTAAACAGAGGATTTCACTTTTGTTTATGAAGTTGTCAAAAATGGTAAAAATGATCGATTTTATGACAATTTTGCTGACTCAAAAAAAAAAAAAAAAAAAAAGAAAAGAAAAAATTAACTAAAATTTCAGACATGCTAGGAGCTAGAAAGGATTAAAAAAATTAAATAATTTGGTCTTTCCTCTTAATAACAAACATTTAGTTAGACAATAAAAAAATTGTTTATCAAGTTTGGCCATTTTTTGCAAAGTATTGAAGATACCTACTCTAGAAGGTAACAAAGGCCTATAGGTTATAAGATTTTTTTTTTCTTGGAAAAATAAAAATAAGGAGAGGGGGTCTGTCTCCAGAAACATAGTCCTGCCATTTGATGATAAAATGAAATTGTGATTACATTGCATATGAGATTTTTGTGGTTTTGATAACAAAAAAAATTATTTCCAAAATTTTCAAACAATTCATTCATTAATAATTTTACACTTTCATTTTAATCAGATAATAATTTCCTGACTGTGTAATTTTTTAAAAAAAGACTGGGTTGGGTAGCATTTGTTTTTTTGTTTCATTTGGGTGGGTGAGGGGATCTTTTTTTGTGGTGTCTATATTTTTTTTTAATAAGCACTCTAGATCATGAAAAAAGTATTAATTAAATTTGTTAATGGTTAATGGGGAGGCAGTGTGTTATCTAAATTAAATTCATTGTAAAATTGATCCCCTCCTACAAAAACTAAAACAAAATACCACGTGACAAAAATGAAATTCGTAATATAAATTTTTTTCATTTACACATTCCAGATTACGAATTTTAAGAAAATTTTTCTTTTGTTTTCAATTTTAAGAAATCACCTGATAGAAATTTTGACAAAATCTGCCGTTTTGGAGATATCTACAATAAAATTTCGGACTCATTCGCATCGCGGCAGCAATTACTGGCGTTGTATGCATATATTTGCTGTGGAATAGACATTATTAAATTGTCTCGATTATTACGCACGCAATGTCTGCAGTTGCGCAGTAATTGAGACAAGTAAGAACCGTAAAAAGGCCGTTAACAAGGTATTCTTCCGCTCACATTTTATCAGCAACGAATGTATGCAAACAACGCCAGTAATGGCTGCCTTGTCGTAATGTGAATGAGTTCGAAATTTTATTGTCGATAATTTCAAAACGGTAGATTTTATCAAAATTCCTTAGTTATTTTCGAATTAAGCATTTACACCGACCTATTTCGGAAATTTAATTAGATAATTAACGCGGGGATTAAGGAGCTTAAAAAAAAAAAAAAAACTAACGAACACAAGGAAAACATTTTTGTTTAATCAATCTAACAGGCTTGATGCAAATGGCCTGTAAAGGCTGTAAATAAATGTTTGGATGGTCAGAATAAATTTAAAAATTTTGGATGTTTCATAAAATAAAAATATAAATTAGTGGGTTTGGTTGATTCCTTAAAAAAAAATTCCCTCATGAAATAAGTACTCTGCAAATAAATACATTTAAAATTTAATAGAAATGCTTAAAAAAAGTTTTCATCGCTTAAATTTTTTTTCTTGTAACTCATTCCGGTTGAAAGCAGACAATATATATATATTTTTTTTTTATGAAAATTATTTCCGATCTTCTTACAAATGGCATATGTTAAAAAAAAAAAAAATCATTCTGCAATTTTTTGATCAAGAAACTGACGCAGAGATACCAGAATATAAAAGTTTTTTCGTGGTAGAGAGCAACAGAGATGTTTCAGGTCGATTTTTAGTCGTACCTATTCGTCTTCCGCCAACCAGAAACAGAAGACTTTGGTGCCATGGATTTTTTCTCCGACAATTGTCCCGTTTTGGAGCGGGTGGTGGTATAAATCCAGACATGCTTTTCTTAAATGTTCAACACTAGTGTGGTTTACACTTAAATAAAAATTTAAATCAAAATCTTAAATTAAATATTCGCAACAAATAACTATGGTTTCCATGAGCTACAAACATTCTATCGCGCTCTATAACGCATTAAAACCGACATAAAACATTTGCAACTTTCCCTAAAATAAAAATCAAAGGGTTCTAACTTCAAAACATCCGATGCTAACAAAAAGGAGAAAAAAAGGGGGAAATATTTATTTATTATTTACGTATCAGGACCCAAACAATAGTCACTTTTGTTAAGACATGCTCTTCTTTTGAACTACTTTTTTTCTGCGAAGAAAGTAATGTTTGTTTCCAAGTATATTAAATAAACTTTAAATTTTCTTGAAATAAACTTTGAAAAAATGTGTAATTGGTTTTTGTAAGAGTTTTAAACAGAGAATTTTACTTTTGTTTACAAAATTCTCAAAAATGGCTCACATCATCGATTTTTTTTTTCTTTTTTGTTCCCTCACGCGGTAAATATAACTTACTTTTTGATTTACCATTCCTTATTCCAGACACATGGCACAATGTACAATTTTATTGAAAATCTAGTAAAGTAATGGATATTTAAAGAATTTTAAAATGCCTTATTTTTTACTTATCTTTAAACAGAATTTAAACTCCACTTGTGGGTATCTTTTTTTTTTTTTTTTTTCTCTAGGACGCCACTGTAAATTTTAGTTGACACAAAAGTATAATCGCTTTAAGTTTAACAATTGAATTGACATTATTGCTGTCCCAACGGCATTTTACGGGAGTTTAAAAAAAAGAATCACTAAAAAGAGTCAGGTGGTTTTTCTATTTTTTTTTTTTAACTTAAAGTAAACAAAATATCATGGTGAACGAATTTTCTTTTAAGCGTTTTAAAAAAAAAATTATATATTATCAACGTTTACTTTTAAGTTTGTTTTGTTTTTTTTACTCCCTTTAAGTTAAAATACAAATATTGAACGTCAAATTTCTTTTCTGGCACTGCTATGATCAATAGATGCTTTTCCTCATAAATAAACAGTTAAACACATGCAAAAATAAATAAAATACGTAAGAAATTAAATGTAAATAAATACGTTAAAAAAATTGAAAATTTAAGATAATCATGTAAAAAAAAAAAAAAAAAAAGTCTAGAAAATCGGGACCATAATTCGCATGCACAAAAATGAAGTAATTTTGTTAAATGCACATGAGCTAAAAATCCTGAATAGTTGGTTTTATTTTTTTTACTTACTCGAAGCAAACAGTGACGAGTTCGGATTTTATAGGTATGTGTGCTGCAGTCTCTGGAGGCCCAAGGGCGGCCAAAGAAATAGTGGAGATTGGTGAAATAAAGAAAATATTATCGCGACCGAGTGCTTCATCAACAATGGCTCTTCGGAAGAATTGAAAGAAATTCTCAAGAATTTAATTACTTTATCGAATTTGTTCCTGATAGATCGAGAAGCAGTCATCCAAAGCAAAGACGTATTGAACAAGGTGCCAGCTGGTTCTTTTAAATGAGCAGAATGATCTGGGGTACAATAACATTATACAAGTAACAAGTTATAATAATTCATGCTAATTTACATGCATCTTTTAGTTCATGCTCAAATATAGCTGGCTTCTAAAACGTTTTTTCAGAGAAAAAATAACAAGCATCCGCACGAATAGAACTCTGAATAATATATTTCGACAAAAAATCAAAAATGTATTTGAAAATATAAAAACAATAAATGATATATATATATATATATATATATATATATATATATAAAAAATTTTAACTCGCAAAATAAAAACAAACATTACAAAAAAAAAAAACACGTGCAACCAGAACGGAAAAATTAACTTTTTACCATCTCTAAGTGTTATTCGTTTGTCAACACTATCAAAACAGTGGATTGTTCCATGGTAAGAACCTTCTCGAAGAATAACGGTTACTGGACAACCGATATATGTTTGAGGATTCATTGTATAAAGGACTTTTTTTTTTTTCTTTTAATAAAATTTCAGAATGAGAAACACGCAATAGCGTGCATTCAGAAAAGCGGGGAGTAAAATAAAACAAAAATGAAAACGAGGCTGGTAAAGCAAAATTGAGATTACTATTCTGTAACTAAAATGTACGTATTTCGCAAACTTAGTTAAAATCTTTTCATTGAAAAGAAATATGTTTTCACATGATCAAACTTTGGCATATAATTAAAATTTAATTTTCTTCTGAGATAATTTTTTAATACTTTTATAAACATGCAGTCCCAAAGTAATATTGAGATGTATGTATGTCATTTTAAAAATGGAAGTTATTAGGATTTAAAAGAACGAAAAATAAATTCGAATGTAAATTTTTTTTAAAATAACTAGAAATAATTTATAATAAAATTTTTTATTTTTAACCAAAAGAGAAAAAAAAAGTAAACGAATGACACATTTGCTCTTAAACATGTTAATTATTTTACTTACATTTATTTAAATTTCAGACAAAATATATTGTTTTAATTCAAAATGAAATAAAACTTAAAGCTGAATGTAAAGACAAGAGTAAATGTATTATGGCGTGGGACTAAGGGATTAAAATTGTCGCATCCACATGTTCAGCAACCGAAAGTGGATTAGCTCCCTTGACTGCTAATAGTTTTGTTACGTATTGCGACGTACCACAGTGTTTCTCAATTCTAACAGAACTTTTAATGGTTCAAAAATTATGTATACAGGTATACCTCAGGTTACGTCGTTTCGAGTTAAGTCGTTCTCGACTAATACATCGTTTGTCAAAAAAAATATATGGAAAAATAAAAATCAAGTTTAAGTCATTTTATTCGACTTCATGTCTGTCCGCCACAAATACTGAAATTATAATATCACTAGAAAAGTGTTAAAAACACATAAAATCATGTTACTGTACAATAAATAGGAATAAAAGTATATAAAATCATATTAAAATACATACGTTTACAGTAAATGTTAATATAATCATCATAAATCCCAGAGAACGAAATATGAAAACATCTGTGACTGTGTTGTCATCTTATTTAGTGGTCTTTAAGAGCTCAGTATCGGCATTTTCCACAGTAATTTCAATATCTACTGTTTGTTGTTGTCAGTACCACTCATGATTCCCACAAAATTGAAATCCAGTTTAGTTTCAGCAAACACACAGTATATGTCTGCTTATCACCTACTCTCTCATTCTCATTCATTTGTGACTTTATATTTTGCCCCAATGGCTTGTGAGAAAATTCCTAGTGCAAGTGCTAAGCGTCATGCTATAATGCTGGTCAATAAACCTTCTATGATAAAACACCATGAAAAAGGTGAAAAGGTTATATCAATTGCTCAATCTTTTGTAATGAGTCAGACAACTGTATCAATGATTGTTGATAAGGATAAAATTTTGGCACATATCAAATCTGATACCCCAGGGATGAAGAATACTGTTATCAATAAGAAAAGAGGAAAAGTCTTTGAAGAGATGGGACTCTTTGGATTGATAGGTTGAATCATCAGCGTGCTGCTATTAGTCAAGAAATCATTCAAGCGAAAGCTTTGTCGCTGAGGACCTGAACAAAAAATATGCAGATGAGAAAGATGTACAGTTTAAAGCAAGTCAAGGGTAGTTTATGAGATTTAAAGAAAAAAAAATCTTATCACTATTAAAAAGCAAGTGAAAGTGCACCAGCTGATGAAAAGCATTGACTAAGATCATTGAAGAAAATGGGTTTCTTCCTGAACAGATTTTTAACATTGACAAAACTGGATCATATTAGAAAAAATTGCCAGACAGTTCTTTCATTGCTAATGCTATATTGCTGATAAATTATTTTATTCAGAATACTGTATGCACATATCATAAATGCTGTAATATGCAATGGGAGTGCTTATATGCAGTTTATAGTGTGGTTATTTTGACAAGTCGTTTTTTGACCAAAGTCATGACCTCTGGAACCAATTAATGATGTAGGGTGAGGTATAACTGTATATAAACATGATGAATAGTTCTGGAATACTAGTAGGAATGTTTTCTTAAAGAATACATAGATAGATAGATAGAACATTTTTGGACTTCCATGAGCTCTTTCAAAATGGCAGTGCTTGGTTAAAGGCCACTAATATAATTGATGAGTAATTTTATACTGGCAAAAACTTTAACACTGGATGCAGTGAACAGAAACAAAACCTTTCACATGACTTCAGACACTCTTCTCTTATTAATTTAATTTTTCACCTCATTTTATGTCAAAAAGAATTTCTTTCTTCTTAGCTCAACACCTAATTTCTGTGAAGACAAGATTTTCATTGGTCCAAATCAATTTCACATATGCTCACTCCTTTCTGTCCTTTTCCTCTGTCCTCTGAGTTTGAAGGGAGTGAGTAAAGGCAGTTATCATTGTTTCACTCTCACTACAGATGTAGTACAAATTTTACTTTGTTTTAATTATCATTTTTTAAATAAATTACTTTACAAATTATTTTTACTTTTTCAAATTAAAGTAAATTTAAGTCATTCTTTTCAGAATGCCTGTAAATTGAAATTCTTACAACTTCCATTTTAAAATGATATCAGTACACATATCATCACATTTCTCTGATATTTATATTTTTTTTAAGGTTTCATTTTTTTTTTCTCCCCCCATTATCAAGGAATTATTTTTTATCAAGTGAATGTAAACTTTTGAGAAAAAAATACAGGAAAATATTTTAAAGTTCATTTGAAGTGAAGACAACTGCAACAACAATAACAAAAAGACAGTTTAGTTTTACAATAATTAACTTTTCTAAAAATGTAAAAGGATTTTTTCAGAGAGAGAGAGAGAGAGAGAGTGGGAGAAGAGAGAGGATCACCTCTCTTACCCCAAATATTGAATAAGACGCATACAAAAACAAACAAGACTTGAAAATCTGGTGTGAAATTTGAAAGGAACAAACATTTATTACATTGACATTAAAACAAAATACAGGTTTTACAAATAAGTTTGCACAAAAAGGCAAGATAACAAATTCAAAAAATAGAAGTGTAGCTCATAAAAAAGATATAAATTATTCAACAAACTTTCAATAACCAAATGCTATGATAAAGTACAATAGAAATTCCTTTTTAAAAATAAGGTTCAAAATATACAAAGTTTTAACAATTGAAAGAATCTTTAGAGAAGGTATAATACAATTCCTTTTCTAAAAAAAAGGTAAAATATACATTCTTTCAAAAAAGATGCATTTACTTAATTGAAAGTTGAAACTGGGGCTTTAGTTCAGTAGGGTTAACCAGAGTCAAGGAGACTTTAACAATTTTGTTCTTTTTTTTAACACAGTTTGAATCACTTCACTGCTTTCTCTTTGGTTCAGCTTCTTTTGTTTCTGTCTTTGTTTGCTTCTTACTCCTTCCATAAGAAACAGCCCAACCCAGCCCATCCACTGATGACAGCCAAAATAGTTTTTCCTTCTGTTATCCTTATAACTTGTTGTAACCTTTTGATACCTTCAGTTTTCTTGTACCTTCTAAAATTTTTATACCTTTGGGTCAAAATTTTTATGCCTTCTGAAATTTTGTGCTAACTGGTCTTCGTATATAGATTTCAAATAGGCTTTCAACTTTTAAATTTGAGTGGGTGGAAGTCACCCTTTTGATTGGTCAATAAATTAAAATCTTATGAATTTGAAAATAAAATACAAACCGTCGACACTTGACCAAACTTATTTTTGGTAGGTTCTTTACAAGCCATTCTATTTTCAGAATTTAAAAATGTTTCACATCAAATTTATTCTTTATTAAGTGTCTGGTTTTCTTTAATCAGTTTTTAAACACTTCTCTTAAAAGCAAGTGTAATAAACATGCAGTCTATTATAATATTTATTTTTTATCAACACATTTTATTAATATTTAATTTATATTTTTTTATATAAATTTTTATATTCTCCCCTCAACAGAAAGAGCAATAAACAAACTTAGTGTTTCATATTATTCATATTTATTTTATATTCACCTTTCTTATAAAAACTTTTATAAGTGTGGTCCCACGTGAAATGTGGTGAGACATGTGCTGATGTCATAAAGATGCTTTTGTCACAGATTATTTTGTTTACAAACATATTTAACAATTTACTAAGCATAGTTTAGACATGGCACAAAGCCAAAAATATGGAGCACTTGGTGAGGATCAAACTCACTACTCGGTCATAATTGATCTAGCAAGACAAGCTTGCCAACCATTACACCATGTATTTTAACCACGAATACAAAGATGGCCCCCCAAATGTTGCCACCATAAATAAGGCCAAAATAAATTAAGTTATTTCATTGTAAAATTAACATGTCTTTTATATTTTTTCCCAAAAAGATTCCCATCTGGGCAGAAAAAAATTTACGAATCATATTTTTATTTTTTTGTCAGGAGATAGTAAGCACGGTTTCAAGTGATTTCATAAAAATATTTGACCAATCAGAGAAATCTAAAACCCTATTTTTCCCCAGACTACTTTCTGAAAAAATGTCTTATAAAATCCACAACCTTTGACTTTCAGGAGCAGAGATATGACTGACTCCATGCTGTTGTAATACAAGAGAAGACATGGCTACATAGCTTTTTCTCTTTGCCCCAATACACACTGAAAGAAATGTGCCAGCAACTTCAAACAAATTATATCCAAGAACAACAGTAGAGACAGTCAGTGAATCTTTGCTGATGATCATGTGTCAGCGACTTGAAATGAATCATCTCCAACAACAGCTTGGGTAATCGGTGAATCTTCGCTGATCAAATTCTTTTTTAAACTACAGATTTTTCTGTGGATCCACTACCCAAAGTAAATCAAAGACAATTTTTACTCCTTTGAATTTATATACATATGTTTGTAAATACAAATGATTTATTTAACAGGCATACCCATGCTTTATTTTTATTATTTAGAATTTTGACATTCAGATTTTTAATATAAAAATATATGGATGACAGAATTTCCTGCTAATGTGACCA